GTATGAGTCTACCCAGCCCCCATCCAGCAGGGCTAGGTCATGCTCCCAGCAGTCACGTGTGAAGGATTTACAGTAGCCTAGCTCCAACCCTGCCTGCAGGCTCAGGGGGAGAGGTGGGGGTATAAGAGCCCTAGGCAGGAGCCACCCCCAGGGAGCACTAGAGCAGCGGTGTGGGAGCAGGACTAAGGCTGCACTGCTGCTTTCACCTCCCTGCTCTGCCCAAGGTGGCCACACTGCATCTCCTCAGCTGGCACCTGCAGCCCAGCTAGTGCAAACAGCAGTGCCCATGCATGACTCAGCACCGCTTGTGCCTGTTACCTGGCATAGCCACACCCGCCCATCCAGCTGTCACAAGCCCCATGACAGGACCAGACCCTACCCCAAGGAAAGGGAACCGCACCCTTGACCCTTGTAGTGACCAGGTCTGGTTCACATTTTCCACCACAGTTTTATTGGAAATGTTAAATACTACACAGACAATGATGACAAGGCTTTGCAGGTATCAGGTGGGATGGGACGAAGTTATGCGTGCTCCTCTGCCAGCTTCTCCGCCTTGGCCACGGCCTCCTCGATAGGCCCCACCATATAGAAGGCCTGCTCAGGGAGGTGGTCATACTCGCCTGGGGGGAAAAGCAGGATCAGAAGAGAGGGAGGGGGGACAGCAGCTACTAGGACTCAAAGCTCCACCTAGGCCCCTGCTCCAAGCACCTGCCTCACCTGCAAGGATTGCCTTGAAGCCCTTGATGGTCTCCTTCAGCGGTACTAGCTTGCCCAGGTGGCCGGTGAAGACCTCAGCCACCTGGAAGGGCTGGGACAGGAAGCGCTGGATTTTGCGGGCCCGCGCTACTGTCAGCTTGTCCTCCTCTGACAGCTCATCCATGCCCAGGATGGCAATGATGTCCTGCAGCGACTTGTAATCCTGGGGGGGAAACATGGGGGCTGGAGTCAGGCTGGGAGGGAACTCATGGAGACCAGCTACCCCCACTCCAGAAGAGGCCTGGCTGCTGTACTTATTCCCGGGGGGGGGGGGGGGGG